TTTTGACTTTTTTACGCGTTTCACTAAGGAAATGTAATGTTTGTAAAGAAAAAAGCAAAAAGTTATTACTCCAGTTTGCACTACTACAATTTGGACTAATGAACGTTGCACCACAACCTTGATTTCATCGCAGCCGTTTCATGCAACGTGTGACGAGAATGCCGACCTGTCTAAAAAACCAAACACTTCCGTCACATAACGGATTAACTTTCATAACCACTATTCAAACATGGTTAAACTTTCGTCACATACCGCAAGAATTTTTGTCATATGGAAACAATGTTCAGCGTTACCCGATGACAATAGTGTACAGTGACGAAAATGCTGTTTGCACCATGCTTTTTTTCACTGTGAAACCTTTTTTATCTTGTTGAGAAAGATGGAAGCAAAGTCTGATAGAGTCTAAATCTTAAATATAGAGATAGAAAATCGATGTATTTTTGCTCAGAATTTTCTGCCATGTTCCATGTTCTTCTAAAATCCATAAGATTGATTTCTCTTACATTAAGCTATGTTCAAATCAAAAAACGTTTTCTGAAAAAAGAGAAAGGAGAGGGAAGCCGTTACAGTTGTCTTTTTTTCACGCATATGTGAATATGGTGCAAACTGGAGTAATAACTTTTTGCTTTTTTCTTTACAAACATTACATTTCCTTAGTGAAACGCGTAAAAAAGTCAAAATATCAAAATCAAGCGTCTATTGTGTTTGGGAGTAGTTCGGTCTGGAGTAGTCCACATTGCAGTCAGCGACGTACCCAGAATTTCAGTAAGGGGTGGGTCAAACCTTTTTTTGGCCAAAGAAAAAAAGTTCCTGTGCGGTATTTTTATTTTCGATTCAATCAAAATATTTTTTCTACTTTTCAATTGCAGAAAACGAAATTTCTAAGAAGTGGGCCATGGCTCACCTCGGCCTAGGGCCGGATACGGGGCTGATTGCAGCAGTCCAAATTGGAGTAGTCTACATGTAAGCATTTCTATGTTATTAGTGTGACAAAAGTTCATGATGGGGTGTGACGATAGTTGTAGGTATGATACACAGTTGGTTACGAAAGTTCACCACTCTTGTAACCAAAGTGTGGGATGGTACTCCCCAAAACTGCCATACACTTTTTTCGTCACGTGTCACGAAAATGCTATCACTCAAAAAAAGAGAGAGAGTGTACCCTTAACTTGAAATGTGCAAGAAAAGTGCAACCATGGAAGATTTTTCGTACATTTTCTATTGGGGATGATAAATTTTGAAATTTACCTTTAATCTACCTTATCTACCTTTAATTTAATTCTCTGAGACAATTTGAGAAGAATGAAATCTATCTTTTCATTGTCGATTTTAAAAGCCGATGGCAGAATCGCAGATTGTTTATACTACTTTGATATTTCTGAAATAAAGATGTGCTCGAAATTATTCTCTTTTATCTTTAAGATGGCGCCACGGCATTACTGGCGTTGTTAACCGTTTTTCAAGTGATCCTGTTTTTTATCGGTAAGCTTTTTTCAATAGGCCCACGTTAGTATCAGAGCAGTTTAAAAAATACTTATTGTCTAATACTAGGTGTCAAATATTTAAATGAATGTCCTGTACAGCCCAATCTTCCTGTTTATTTACTTGTTGTGGGCTCAATGGGTCTGGTTCGTGTGCTAAATTTACTTTGGAAACAGTTTCGTCGTCGACGAATGCGTAAAAATGAGGGTATCGAGTTAGATCAAGAAGAAGAACCGGACATTGGTAACGGAAGTGGTTTCACAGATGCTATATTAAATTTATTTCTATTGGCTTGGTTTATCGTCGGACAATTTTGGACATACAGTATTTTTATGCCAAAATTTGAAGCTGAACTATTGAATCCACATGATTATTGTCATAAAAATGTTTACATTTTTACGCTAATTCATATTGGTTTCGTTTATGTGATGTTATTAGCGTCTATTATGTTTTTAATTGCGCTGACTATGTGCGCGGCTTGTCCGCATATCCTCGTTAAACCTCAAAGATGATGTAATTTATTTTATAGACGACGCAAATCTATTTTTTATATGTTTTATATAAATTTTTTCTTAATATTTTAACATTTTTAGCATTCAGACAGGTCTAGAATGCGTTATAATACAGGTGAGGCAAAATTAACTGTCATGCTGATGCAAAACCACACAGAACTTATTCGACATCGTTATTCCATATTTTAAACAAAGCAAAGTTCGATCACAATGATTTAAGTATTTAGATAGCTTTTAATATCTGATGTCTAAAAGTGTGGACGAACATTTAGTGATTCACGCAACTATGTAGCATTGTTCATATTGATAATGTTTTTCCATCAAATATACTAAGACGCAACCAGGACGAA